TCTGCTTGTCTCTCGCCCTCATCTTCTGAGGCAGAAATGCGTGATAACAGCCACTCAACTCTTGGTTTACTCATGTTATTTAGGCAGCAGTGGTGACCCTCTGGAATGTGATGGTGGTGAACAACTGGCAAGTCTTTTTGGAAGCATTTTCGAGATACTCAAGCCCGTATGTATCAGTAAGAATATTGAAAAAGTCACATATAAATCTAGCTTATAAGATAACTGGGGTTTATACACAGAGCACAGTTCCTACCAACTGGGAAAAAGGGTGCTGCTTACCTTTATTTTGGGTATGTAGGAAATATTTCATGGCTGTTCTTTAACTTGTGCAACTTGATGGTTGGTCTAATTGTTGTTGGATGCCATGACATCCATTCAGAAAGGATAGGAAACTGGTTTGGTAGTTGTCTTGTTCCAAAAAAGAGTGAGTGATTTAAGTGGATTATAAACAGCCTTGCAACATGTATTGGATGGGTGGTTCTCATTGTAGAGGCAATCTCACAGAAGTAAGATTTTAGTTAATTGTTGTACTTAATTTTGGGCTGGTTCTCTATTTTCCCTGTGAGTGAACATTTTTTTCTAGACTTAAAACCTTGAGCATATTTTTTATTTGTATTGAACTGCTTTATGGGAATGTTTGAACTGGATGGCCTCTGGGTTGAGCTGTTCCAGTGATCCTAGGCTAGTTAACCCAGTATGTGGAATGCTGGGTTAACTTCTTCTACAGGCTGTTCTGTGTGATTAAATGTTTCATGTGGTGTGGTGAAGACTGGACAAGTCACGAAAGAGAAATCCATTGGGTTCTGCAAGTAATGGAAACTACTTCTAGCTCAAGAGATCTCTGAAGTGCAAATGGTTAGAGACTGAGAGAACAATCAGGGGCAGCATCATAGGTATTTTATAATGATTTTGTAGTCTTTCCTGTGCTTCCACTTTTGAGGATACTAGTCTAGATGAATCTTTTGCTGTGATCAGTACAACTTCTATTAGGATGTTTTTCTGTCTCCTCAGAGTTTTATTAGGCATGGTAAGTGGAGGGAGGCAAATCTACTTGGTTAACTTAATGAAAAGATAAGGTGTGGTGTGGGGGGGTTGTTTTTTTTTGTTTGGTTGCTTTTGTTTTTATTTTTTTGCTTCCAGCCCTACTTTTACATGAATAAAGCAACAGTTATGTCTTTCAAGGAAAAATGTGATTTCACGGCTCTCTTTGGTCACTTTCAGGCTGAGGTTATTTACCACTTACTTTACTTATTGTCTGTTAATCTGGTCTGCAGGTGGGCAAAGATCTATTTTGTAGCCTGGTGGTTGATCTCCTCTGTCATCTGGGTTAATCTCTTCGTAGCTTTACTTCTAGAGGTAAGGAAGTCTGTTTCTTTGGGTTTAGAGCTTGAAGACATGTTCTGATGTGTGTGGGATATGAATAGAACCCTGACAAGTTTTTGGGAAAAGTGTGTTGGCTTTGTGTGTGTGTATTTGTTTTCCTCCTTGCTCTCCTTTCCTTGAGATGCAGAGGAAACATTTTCTTTTTCCTGGACAGTTTTTGTTTTAATTTGCAATTTTGTCACAAATGTGCTTGCATTTCATTTTATTTAATTGTCCTGTTTCCTCCTACCCCAATTTGAATTATTACCCATAATAAATTCGTCACTAGAAGAGTAGAATGGACTACTTATTTTGAAGAGATTATCCTCAAGAGTTTTTTTAAGCAGCTGTGGAAATGTAGGTAGCTAAGCAATGCCATGAAGAACATGTGGATCAGCTGGTTTCTCATGTATTCATACTTCTCTGCAAAACCAAATACCTTTTGAGTTTTCAGTGGTGGAGGGCATGTTCATCATAGCCATCTACTCCAGGCTAATCACTGTAGACTCCTCTTGTAAGTAATAGAAGAGCCTGAGTACCTGTAGAGGGCACTTCACCCCATCTTAAAACCTGTGAAAACTTTTTGGAGATGCACTTGTTGTTGACTGCATCGAGAAATAAATTTACTACCCTAGGCATAATGGTGAACTTTTAGACAGAAACTTAGGTATGAGTCTCGTGCTGAGCTTCAGTCTTACCTAAGCCTTTTAGAGAAGAGTTTCTGTTCTAGCTGGAGGCTAATCCTGTGAAGTCATCTAGCTGCTGCTTCCACAGGGTTGTGGCCAAAGTTTCCTGTAAGGGCCAAGATGTAGCATTCTGTAGTAGGAGAGCAGGATGTCACTTCCCCTTTACTTGGCTCTCATGAGACCCCTGCTGGAGTACTGTGTCCAATTCTGGAGCCCCCAGCATAAGAAGGACATGGAGCTCATGGAGAAGGTGCAGGGAAGGGCCATGAAAAGATGATAAAAGGGCTGGAGCACCACTGCTATGGAGACAGGCTGAGAGAGTTTGGGCTGTTCAGCCTGGAGAAGAGAAGGCTCTGAGGAGACCTTATAACACCTTCCAGTATATGAAGGGGCTACAAGAAAGCTGGGGAGGGACTTGGGACAAGGGCAGGGAGGGATGGGATGAGGGAGAATGAATTAAAACTGTAAGAGGGGAGATTTAGGTTAGACATTAGAAGGAAATTCTTTAGAGTGAGAGTGGTGAGACACTGGAATAGGCTGCCCAGGGAAGTTGTGGAAGCCCCATCCCTGTGTTCAAGGCCAGATTGGATGGGGTCCTAAGCAACCTGGTCTAGTGGGAGGGGTCCCTGCCCATGCAGGGGTTTGGAACTAGATGATCTTTAAGGTCCCTTCCAACTCAAACCATTCTATGATTCTATGATTTTTCTTTTTTTTTTCTTTTTTTTTTTTTTTCTGGGTTGTCTTCTGCTCTAGTGTTCTTTCAGTGTGTGATGAGAAAGTTACTTCATTCCTGAACAAACAAGTTTGAATAATGTACTGACCTGCAACCAATAAATGTCAAAACAATCTAGTTACCTAAGTATTGATAGCCAGCTATTGATTTGTCAGAGTAAGTCAGAAGGGATAAGGGGACCTGACAAAACCAGAGGCTGAGTTTCACTTGTGATGCCTAGACTATGAGTATGTTTATATATTGTTGGGTTTTTAAAGAGGAAAAAATTCAAAGCAGGTGAACTCTGCAGGTAGTTCACACAGTCATCTTGGGGAGGCAGTCCTTGCTAGGAGTAGAAGGCAGCAGGGCTGTCTTCTGCCCTACTGTTCTTTCAGTGTCTGATGAGAAAGTTATTTCCTTCCTGAGCAAGAGGCTTAAATAGTGACCTGCAGCCAATAAATGTTCAGATGCCTAAATAAATCACTGCTCTGCCACTCTGTGTTAAAAGCAAACCTCATCCTCCTCCCAGACCTTACCCCCAAACACACTGAGCTGATATAACCTCTTTACTGATGTCACTAGAAGCAGCCTTTAATTTTTCTTCTTCCTTTTATGTTCCAGAACTTTATTCACAAGTGGGACCGTCGCTGTCACCGAGAGCCTCTTTCAGATATCGAATACCAGAGGACAGTTGAGCTCATGTTCAGGTGAGTTGAACTTGATAATCCATCTGAGTTTCTTACATTCATCTGTTTTAAAGACCGTGTGCTGGCTTCAAGAGGATAGCAGCAAACTGTTTTGTGTCTTAGCTTGGAGAAATTCAGTTCATGCTGTAGTTAGGCCTGCTGGAAGCTGACTTGTTAGCCTAACCTTTGCATGTCTTCTACCCATAGCATGGTGGGAGAAGGGGTGAGGGAGAAGAAAAGGGAAGATGAGGAAAGTGATGCATGTTCTTGGCTTATTAAGAAGTTGTGGGTGGTGAGTTGATACTTGATCATGCACAAGTGGAACTTCTGGTGCACATTGGATATTCAATAGTAGCATTGGGACCGTGTTCTCATTTGGGAGTTTCTTCAGGCAAACAAATCTACTGACCTTCGGTTGTATTGTACTGTGTGCAGGAAATTGCTTCCCTGCTTCTTGTGGGAAAACAGCTGCTGGTTTCTGTGACACATCTGTAAAGGATGGATCACTTGCAAGTAGATGCATCTTTAGGGAGCATCAACTTATTATAACTTTAATTCCTTGTTTCATTCTTGAAACAAGCACATGTTACATCTCCATGCCCCTAACAACTCATGCTTTTCCTTTGTAGAGATGTTTTGGAAGAACCTACAGAGGAAGAGTTGATGGAAAAACTACATCAGCATCCACACCTGCAGTTGTGTAGGTGACTGGTGGGAAGGACTGATTTATTTAGACCTCTGTTTTCTTGAGGTTGTCAGCTGGAAGAAACTGAATGGATTTTCTGAGAGGTGCTGTCAGGAGAGAGGCTTGTAGGACAGTACGTGGGGTTTTGCTTGGCAATTCTCTGCAGAAAGAGAGTTTTTTATTTTTGGTTCATATCTTTTTTTTTTATTGAAAAAGATTTGAATCGTGCTAGTTTGACTTGATTTTAAGTTGCAATTTTAGAGGAATATTGCAGCTGTCATTTTTATAAACTGTTGATATCAGAATGTTTTATTTTCTTGTTTGTTTCGGGTTGGTTTTTTTTTTAGAAGGGAAAGTGTATTTCAAATGACAGTGCACTTTAAAACATGAACTGTGTAACCACTATGCCTGCTATTTTTTTTTTTTTTCAGCACAAGAAAGTGGCACTGCCTTTTCTGGTAGGTGAGTGTGGTGAGGGCTGTGCCCTGCAATTCACAAGTGGATTAGGCAGGACCAGAACAAAATCCTTAATCTTTTTTTGTAGTGAGAGTTGAAACACTATTTTTTATTGAGATGTGACACCAGCATGATTTAATAAATTTTCAGGTGTTAATCACTTCAGAACACAATCAATTTCAACATAGTACCAGGGAGTGCCTACCTTGCACATCCTCTCTGTTTCTATGTGTTGATGGTTGCTGGTTGCATCATGCTGCTGGTTTTCAGAGCAGTTAGAACCTTGAATGGAGCAATTGCACTCGTGGTTTTCAATGTGGTAAAACTGAGCTCTCCTTTAGAGTGAATATTCTCATGTTGCTTTTTAGTGAACCTCTTCCTTTTACTTTCTTCCAAGTCCTCTTCTGCACTGTATCATATTCCATGGAAAAGCTGAGGGAAATGAACTTTGGCTGGAATGTAGCACCGTGATCACTGCAAGTCTTTAACTTATGGGGAGGGGGAAAAAAAAAGGTTGAAGGGGATAATCAAAGTGCTTAGCAGTTCAAATTTTTATTCACGTCCGTGGGAATTGAAAGTGCTCAACCAGTATTGCAAGATCACATTCTTTTATGGCTTAATGACCACATGCTGTATAGCACCAGCTATTGCCTGCATTATACTTTTTGGGCAAATAACTTTGTCAACAAATCTAAAATGGAGAATTAGCAGTAAGTCATGGCCGTGGGCTTTTTGTTAGCCCTCCCTATTCCTCTAAAAAAGATGGTTTTTAAGTCTTTGTCACATAACTAGTAAATCATTATGAAGAATAGAATCAATACCAACTACTATTTTCATAAAAAAGGAGTTACCCTTTGGTGTGCTTGCCTTGTTGTGCAGACACTTCTCCCCCAAATAGACTTTATTACAATCATCTCTTCACTGGCAAAAACTTGAGAAAAGTAACTGGCCATAAAACACTGCCATGATTTATACTTTATTTGATTTTTTTTCATATGACAAAACATTTTTGAAAAGTGCCAAGCAGTCATCTATATTTTTTCTCTTTTTTTTTCTTTATTTCTTTTCTCTCTTCCCTGCATAAGGGAGAGGAAAGGATCTGGGATGATGGTGCATTTGAGCTCAAAAGTATTTCTGAATTATTGGTTTACTGTTTAGAAGCTACATAGTGATTCTTGTCTGTTTCTTTATTGTTTGCTTATGTCTTCTTTGTGCTGTGGAACAAAATATGTTGTAACTTGCATATGTGTAGAACACATCTGACCTGAGCTCTGAGTCATTCCTACAATCCCTTACTTTTGTAATCTTGCCTCTTAAACTGTGCACTTATCAGTGTTGAGTCTTGTGTCTCTGTTCCAGATTAATCCACCCAGTAACTCACTTGTACTGGTTTCAGTGACATTACCATGCTTATTTCCAGTCATATACTGAGAATACACACCATAGCAAGCAAATGAAGGCATCAGCACACAGCTTTTCTAGATTTGGATTTTTTGCATGGTTTTATTCCAGGATGATTTTTGCTCCTTCTAGCATGATGTGATCACTGCCACCAATTTATTTGCACTTAATAACAGAGATTGAATACCTTATTTTGCCTGTTTACTCTATTTTTCTTTCCCCCCCACTCTTCTGAATACTTGGAGAAGTGGCCTTTCCCAAAAAGGCAATGACTGGTTCTTACCTGTCTGCAGGTTTACTTTCTATTTGCCTCTTAAGATTGGTTGGTTGGTTGTGGGTTGTTGGGTTTTTTGTGTGTTTTTCTTGCCATTACATTCCACTACAATCTACCAAAGCAACACAAATTGGTGTGGGATTATCATAAACATCCATTGTGCAGTTGTTGCATCCGGACAAATGTGAAGAAGGCTTTTGTGATGGGAATATTCTTAGTCTTGTTCTTGTTCCACATTTGTGTAATTGACTGAAAACGTAACTAGAATTGAACATGAAGTTGTCATGCCTGATGTCACTTGTACTGGAAGATGTAAATAATCACAAGTCTTATGCAATAATGTATAGATCATGAAAATGAATGTATGTAACTGGGTAAAATTTGATGTTTCCATTATTAAAAAGGTTACCTCTCTCAAAATACGAAAATAATTGTGGCATGGAAATGATTCTCGTGGTTTGTTTTTCCCTTCCCCCTTCTACTGGTTTCTGTTGTGCTCAGCATCTGTGCTCCCATTATCTTCCCTTGTTGGAGGCTGGGTCCGTGGAAGAGTTTACATGCAGATGGGACATAACTGGTTGCAAAATGCAGGTCCTAAAGTATTCTGATCTGTTATTCTCCAGTTCTAGAGGCACATAACATCATCTGTAGGTACTGCTTCAGTTTTAAGGTGAAACTTCATTGGAACTGAGCACTGAGGGTGTGGCAAAGCTCCCTCTTTGTAGCTGCAGACTAGATACTCCTTCATCTCTTTTTCCTGATATGATCAGTGCAGTAAGTATTCTGATAGCATTTCAAATGGGACAGATTTCACAGATGATGTAGCACAGTTCATGGCATTCTTTTGAGAGAAGTTCAGATGCTTTTTTAGAAACAGAACAAAATGGGTTCTGTGTCAAGCTTAAAATGGCTGTTGTGGTTGCTGAGGTGAAGTATGTAAAAGCTAAAGCAAATAGATGGTCATCTTGAGCTATTAAATCAGGCTCAGGTTTATCTGGCTTCTTCAGGAGGGCTTTAATCACCAAATTGTGATTTCTCAGATTTGTTTTTCCCTTCCTGGTTTGCTATGAATTTGTATTAATTAAAGATATAGGAGTATGGAGGCCAGTGAAGTGTTCTTGATTCTTTCAGTAGAAATGCCTTGATAAACCTCACTTAAAAATGAAGAAACTTAAAATATTGGTCAGAGCTGCAAATAAGGCAAGCAGAATAACTTAATAACTGTGCAGAAATTACAAAGGAAGAAATACTCTCTTGGGTGTCAAAGGCTTATGTGAATGAAGTGCTTGAGGCTCTCTTGGCCTCTCTTTGTTGTGGTGCTACTGAACATCTCTTAACACGTTAGGGAATATTGCTTTTCCATCCTTCCAACACTTCTTAACATGCATGGAAATATAGGGACATTCAAAGCTTTAAGAAAATATAGGGCCTATAGGAAACTGGTGCAAGGTATGGATAGATTAATTATCTCTGAAGTGTGAGGTGAAGATATCTCTTATCTTGCTAGATGGTTTTAACTCTTCACCTACAAGTATATTGTGAGCAGCACACAGTGTTACCATGGCTTCTGCTATTATTTAACATTGCTTTGGTCAGATGAAGTCATTTCAGTAGTCCATCTGTCTTGGCTTTTTATTGAAAACAAAATAAAAATAATTGTCTTTTTTTTAATGTAGGCACTGGTGATTTTTTTTTTTCTTTTTATGGATTTTTTTTTTTTTTCCAATTAAAACCCATTCAGCTGCTGGGAGCTTTCCACAAATCAGATGGTTTTGACTCAGTCTACAGTCCTTACAAATATTCAGAGCCATTTGTTATGTGAACTCTGGGTGGAAATAATTCAGGGGAAGATAAGTTGGATTACACTTGGTGTCTTATCCAACTTTAAGCACTTTACTACATAGGACACTGTTTCAAATTACTGTGATAAACCAGAGGAAAGAGCTAAAATTATCAAAGTAAAATTTAAGAGCCAAATATGGATTATTAGCATTTAGAAGAATAAAATGGGGAAGAACATAATAGAGAGAAAAAAAAAAAATATAGGGCTTAGTTTACTACAAATTGAATGAGCTAAGGGCATGTGAAAGAGATCAAAGGAAAATTGCTGTAATTTGTAATAGTAGCTCCCTCCAGGCCCCACTGTTCCTTTTTGGGCCCTTCATTTTAAAATAAACAGGTGGGGGAAGGCAGACATTTGTTACAGGACACTAACAGAGGTCTTAGGAAATTTGGAAGTTGGGAAGGATTTTGAAAAATACTTCATTTGGGCAAACAAGAGGCTGGCAAATACTTTTAAAACAATATTTAAGTATGTGAAGTGTTGAGAGGCAGGAACTGTTTATGTTGTGCAATCTCTTGTGTGCTGGTTGTGGAATAAGTTGTGGTTTGAATTTCAGCAAAAGGAGTTGCTAGGTGTGAGGGATGCTTCCTGACTCTGGGCACTGCAGTCTGGGGAGATCACAGACTCCCCCTTGCTTAAGTGTCCTTTTAGGAAGGGTTTGACAGTCACCTGCTACAGCTTTGTCTGCATGTTTGTGAACTTGCCCCTGCTTGGTGATGCCTCAGCTGGTCCCTGAGATCCTGTCCTGCCTACCTCTGTGGTTTCACTGGAAAGAATCCCCGTGGCTGTAACCAACCTTGCTTTTGTTGTCATAGCGTGTGCTGGTGGTTCTAGCTAATGGCTTACAAATGTTTACAGTATGCAAGTATTTTACAAGTAGGGATAGTGAAAAAAATGTTCTTCAGCTTCCCATTGTAAATGGGAAAGATGAGATTTGGTGGTTGCTAGTTGTGCTGTTGCTAGTACTTGACCAGCATCCCCTGGCTCCTGCACTAACCCCCCATAGTTCTCCATGCAGTTCTCTTTGCTGGGTTCCCTTTAATCTTGTT